TGAGTGAATGTCCGCCGGTGAGGGAAGCACGTCGGGGAAGCACGCAGATGTTGCACTTTGTCTCCGTCACCTGAGAGTACAAGTATTTACAAGTTGTTGTGTCGTTCGCAACCATCGATCTAGCCCATGATCGAGTGACTGCGACTCGTCGGCGCGACGACGACTTGCGAGCAAGAAGCGAATCGTTTTCTAAGACGGAAACGGGATAGCTAAACGCGCGTTAGCTTACGCTCGCTCCATCATGAACTCACCTCCAAGTTTCGCGAACGGAGAACACGAAAAAGAAGAAAGAGAAAATCTAAAAGAGAAGAAAGACGTTCGATTTGAATGCGCCTAATCAAAGTTAAGATGCAGAAGTACTGCGAGGAAACTATTCGCATAGCGAAGTGCACTTTACCGCGAGAATCTGACACTTTTCATCGTGAATACTTCCCCGAGATTTTAAATTATACCCGATAAGAGGCACTCGCGACTAATGAAAAAATTGCTCCCAGATTGCGATCGTTGCGCCACGATGGTTACCCCGTTTCTGCGATAATTTGAGACCGTCGTTTGAAGAAGTTGCACTTCTCTTCTTGAGATTTCATCAAAAAGAAATCAAATTTGAAAACGAGACTTTCCTCAACGAATCAAATTGAACTCGTCGTCGTTTAACTCGTCGTGATGACGTATTTATCTGTCTTACGAATTTTTTCGCACTTTTAAAAGTCAAAAAAAAAAAAAAAAGAAAAAATCCACGCGTTCCGCCGTGCAGTCTATTCAGTGCCAGAACTTGACTTTATAGAGATGTTGACTCTCCTTCGCGCATTACGTCTCTCTACTGCGGCATTAAAACGAGCACGATAATCGCGATGGCGGCAATTCATTATTAATCACCGCGAGGTCGAGTCGCGTGCTCGGTCGTAAAATATTCCGGTCTGCGCAAAAGTGGTTCACGGCCGGTTCACAACGGCTCGCCATTATGAACTTTTACGCGCTCGTAAAGACACAAATGGACGGGGTGTGACGGTGAAGAAGAGCGACGGAGATTGAGAAGAGACGACGGAAAAGCGTGAGCATATTGCAAATTTTCGAGTCGCGTTATCGTGAAGAAAGTGTTTATAAGCTCTCGCGGGAGCAGGCGCGCGAGATATGAGACGCGCGAGCTGGCCACTCGATTAATAAAAGTCTTCAACGCTAGTTGTACGATGCAGACTTTCTTCTTATTGGAAGACGTGCGCGGTCGATCAAATATGTAACGAGGACAATACGCGATAATAATATTATTATCCAAGGAAAAGTCTATATCTTTATAAAAAAAAAAACAAAAAACTGAATACTGCGTGTTGTGCGCAACAATTAGAGCAATTTTATTCGGCAATCGTTTTTATACCGATTGGAAGAAAAATCCTCAGGAAACTGAATCAAGATGATGCGCGTGTTATCGACAGCGTAAAAAAGTGTTACGATAATAAGAAAAGTTAAAAAGAACGAGCTGTTGAATATTGATTGATGGGATTATCGATAGAGAGAGGTGCTCTTTAAATATCCATCGCAAAACTTGAGTTCGATCGGTTCAAACAAAAGGCAATTCCGAGGCAGACAAAGAGCGTACCAGCGGGCAAGATGATAAAGATGTTTTGCGGTCGCAACGTGAGCTTGGAAAACAATTTTTCAACGGAAGACCTGACGAAAAGAAAAAAAAAACAGAAATAAGATGAAGACGAGAGAGAGAGAGAGAGCGGCTGACACCCACGCGCGCCATACTTTAACAAGAGAAATACTTGTAGTTGAGCAATTTTATTTACAATGGTTAAACGAAATCTTGAAGAATTCAAGCGGCGGACTCGCGTAAATCGCACCGCAGATCTATTGTGCTTTGACTTAGAAAAATAAACCCCGTTAAATCACCGTCATGCCGCTCAACCACAGAGATACACTGACTCTGTATAACTCGGGCGCGGAAAGTGAGGCAAACGCTGTTTTGCATTCGCCATCACGTTCCGGGGCTATTCAAAAGCGCTTATTTTTCAAACGCATTGAAAACACTATCAATTAGTCAGTCTTGCGGCGTTTCTTTGAAAAATATGTTAATATAGCGAATATTTCACACGGTCGGGAAAGAGTAGCGCCCGGAAAACGGGCGAACAAATACAATCACGGCGCGAAAAGACATCGCGTGAGAGCGTTGGGTGAGACGGTAAGTGAATGTAAATACGAGCGTGGCTTAAGCCGGGGATGTCCCGGGGAAACGGAAATATTTGCGGACGGTTTTGGTGCCGCGCGAAAGTTCGCTATTCATTTAAATGGCGATACCGCCGGACGTTACAGGGAGTTCCTTCCCCGACTGTAATCAGCTTACTGATTTTCTCACGCGCTCCTACTGCGTCGATATTACTTTGAGAATTTATCTGTTGCGAAATTGTTGTTATAATAACAATCCCGGAGCCAGCCGGCTAATAGTTAACCATCAGCGAAGCTTATAATTAAGGATAATCCATATCTAACTTCAAATTGCTTCTCGCAACGGTATCTCACGCTTTTTTATACACAAAAGCGTGAGATAACGACCTAATATGACGACCAAGCGGAAAACTTTGCTACTTAAAAACGAGAAGATATATACACACATAGGTACCTCGCAGTTATATGAAGGATAACTCTGATGAATAATATGCGACACATTTCCTATTGTATATAACGATGATAAATCTCTCTCGTAACGACGTTTTCTTCGCGGAAACAAGAATTTTGCTATCACATGGCCAGCAAAAAAAACATTTGCCAAGTCTACCGACTAATTTGTTTCCAATTAACAAAACGTTTTGTTGACAGAGCAAACAAATTTAATAAACTTAACATTTTCTTGCCGCAGTAACTAATCTTCTTGCTGTTCTAGCAGCAACAATTTTTTTTCACATCTTACCGTATCCGCGCGGCACCGAAAAGCCAAAAGTTTCCACCGGGAAACAAAATTTATTGCGTTCTCGTATGTCTTACTGTCGAGGAAGAGGAAACCAAAATAAAACAACTTTTTTAAACGAACAAGTGGTTTTTAAATTGCTTTCCAATTGTCGTATAAGCTTGTTGATCCGATTATATGAGGTAAGTAGTGAAACTTTATTGGTTATCGCTTCATGAGACCGATATCGATTGCACGTAATAAGTAATATTTTCGCGATTGTGTGTCCGCATTTCTCTGCTTATTTCATAAAGAAGGTATAGAATAATAAGAGGAGAAGAAAGTAGTAAAGAGATAGTGTAAAGAAAAGCATCGTTTGCTCTAACGGTAATGCTCTAACGGCAAAAAGTTCGATATACGCGAACATGAGGTTTCGCTTTCACTATTGCGTACACTTATCAATTTGCTAACTTGCCTGTTAAATTTTTTGTTTTGTCAACAAAACGTTTTGTTGATGAATGTAATGGCAAAACTTTTTTTTTTCCCGTGTATAAACGCGCTTCGAACAATCCCTCTTTCTGATAAGTAATTATGCTAGCGTGAAAAAAGGGCGTACACTGCTTTTTGAAAGAGGCGATTTTCTTCAGAACAGATGTGTGCGGCCGTTATTCTTTATGATCATTTGTTCAATCGTTGCGTTCAAGGGTCAGAGCTAGAAATGATAAACGACCTTTGGTTCTCTCTTATCCACCTTCTCACAACCCGGTATAGGTCTGTGTGTGTGTGTGTGTGTGTGTATTTCGCTTTCGGGATCATCTCCGAAAAGAATGTAGCGGTTGCCGTGCGGTAAAGAAAAGAAAGAGCGGTAGAGAAAAGAGAGAAATACGACTGTTTCGGACACCTCGGACACTTTCGTCTTAATGTAAGCAAAACTTAAAGAGGCAGATCTTTTTGCCAGCATGATGGTTTAAAAGTGAAATTCGTGACTGTTGCGATCACAATTCGTGGCGGCGATGACAACGCCGCAAAACACAGAAAAAAAAGTTTTGCCACATAGCCAGCAAGAAAAATTATGCCAAGTCTACTGAACTTTTTTGCTTCGCTGACAAAAATTTGTTCTCTTGACGAAGCAACAAATTGAACAAGCTTAGCGAATTTTTCTTGCTGGTCATGTAGCAACTAATTTTCTTGCTATTTTCAGCAAAAATTTTCCGTGCACATACATATGTGATGGTGTGAAAGAACGTGAAGCGAGGCGTGCGGCAACGCGTCCGAGACGATTTAAATCAATTCGTCCTCGTGCCGTCATCATAAATTCTCAGTCTGATGTTTACGTGTTCGTGAGAATTTTTTAAAGCGCGCACATCCCAGGTATACACGAGATATACGTGTGAAACGGCGCGGCATAAAAGTTTGCACCTTAAACGAATCCGGTTGGCAAACTTCTCTCCGATTAAATCGCATCACAAAAAATGATATATGCTATATATACGCTCGCGTTCGCGCCGACGTACGTGCGTTCGATTATCGGCGAGTAATTACTTGTGTAAACTTCGTCGAAAAGGGGCGAAGCGAACGCCTCGTTTTGACGACGTCAGCGCGCGGTATCTCCTCTGCGGCACGACCGATAACAAACGAGAGAGCGCGAAGGAAAGAAAAAAAAAAAAAGTTAAAGAGTGCTGTTATCGAATTCAAGTTCGCGCGGATAATTTTGCGGTAATGGAAAGTCCTATCTGGAGCGGGAGCTTAGCCCGACATCGGTATCAACCAATCCCAGGTGTTCAATTGGCGCACCGCCAGAATTTAAGCTCGGCTTAAATTTCGCGCAGTTGCCACGCTAACTGGGGCAGATCCAGATTAGAATTAACTAATTGTTGCGTACAACCATCGTAATTAGGCGGAATTCCCAGCTTGCGCCCCGGCATACTAATATTTGATGGGAGGCGCGAAAACACCACGCGCGGCAGGAAGTCGAATCTATTTGGAATCGTCTTGTAATCCGCGCTAATACCAGAGAACGCGATCGGCAACCGAAATCTCTCTTCAGTCATTTGTTTTTATATTCGAATCTCGTTCTCATCTTCGTTGTCAACCACAACACAATCACGAAACCACTTACCGATTACATTTAAATGGACTAGGTGACTCATGTGCGGCGTCGTGGAGACCTGACACTCGTAAATGCCGCTGTCCCGATGCTGCGGATACTTGATCTGGAGCGTCCAGTCGTCCGAGTGAGCGTTGTGAATCGCTCGAAATCGCTGGTCGTTCGTGTACGTGTAACGACCGATCGTGAGCAAATGAACGTCTCTGTGCCGTACCCACGATACTTGTAGCGTCATCTGCAAACAAACGGGAAATACAAGATCAGAGTCGGAACGGCGTGAATGAGGAAAGAAGAGTGAAAGAGACCCCGGGGAGAGAGAGAAGGGTGAGAATCACGAATGATTTCACGCTGGTTGAGCTCTGGACCTTGGAATCTCTTGTGTCTGGTTAAGGGTTACGCCAGAACACGTAATTAGTGGCTCGTTTGTGTCTGGCGTGCCGGTAATTAGCAAAATATCGGTGTCAGAACTTTTAATCACCTTTCCGACCAAGAGTTCTCTGCGGGCTATCGCAACTTCTCTCCCTGTCTCTCTTCTTCCTTCTCTCTCTCTCTCTCTCTCTCTCTCTCTCTCTCTCTCTCTCTCTTCCTCTCTGATGAGTATATATAGATTGAGATACATATAGAACTATATTTTCATTAACTTAAATTACACTCTACATGGGTGATGTCCTGGATATGCAATATGTGCAAATGTGTTTTTTAAAGCGTGTAAATTAATACACAGAGAAATAAACGTGAAAATTCAAATTAAATTCAATTCAAAACATTTTTTAAGACGCTTAATTTGCATTTTCTACGTATAAAGTACCCAATTTAATCACCCTGTGAAAAAATCATTCAAAAATGCAAAAAAAAAAAGACCTCTGACTCTCATCAATTTCTAATTTAAGACGCACGCGAGCTTTGATATTTGATCATATTTTTATTAGATTACGTCGCGGAGATGATAATTTTCGTAAAATACGCATTCGGGTGAAACACGCTTCACGTAAATGTCTGCTTAAGATTCAGAAACTCACGAACTTACATACATATACATATTACGGCATTTGTTTGTTGATACGCGCGAAATCGATAAATTATACACGTCACTTATGTATCAACCGAGAGTTTTCGCTGTATGCAAATCAACCGCGTCCTTTGACAGATGCGAGAGAACACGGTAGGATATGGACTCGCGCGTAAGTTGATATATACTACCGCGCGGTTACCAATGGTACGTGTAATACAATACAATAAATTACAAAGCGGTACGTGAGAGATCTGAATTCGGACTCGCAAGCAAAGGATACGCGACGCCGCATCAGATACAACTTTCGAGTATACATTCGAAGTTCCTTCGTACAGAGGAATTAATAGAGTCACTTTGCATATCGTTGCAAAGTTAGCGTGCGAGATAAAATGCCCCGTGCCGCGATAATTGGACACTCAAGTCCAGAGACGTGTAAATATTTGCGTTCTTCGCGTTAGATATGCGCGCGTATGCACGTTACTCGAAAGGTACGGTAACCTGCGGTAACAGATACTTTTCAGCGCGATAGCGTGTAGTAGAAAATGAGGGGGAAGGCAAAGGAAAGAATGAGACGAGGCGAGAACGTTGTTCTGTGTTTTACTCAACTCGTCGAAATCGAGTAACTCGCTTGATTCAACTTTTTCTTGTTTTTCCTCAATCTCTTTCTGACACTTTCAGTTAAAAAAGCTCCAGCAAAGTAGATGCGATGACGCGAGAAAATTTTACCGAACCGAATCACTGCCATTGGACTCAGGGAACTCTGCTGCCACAGAGCTGACACACTAGCAATTTTGTTTTAAATTAACTATAAGACTCACTGTGAGAATATTTATAAACATTTCTTTGTGCCTCACAACAGATTAAATCAAATAGACATAAGATCGCCACGACAACTGGCGGTAGTTACATTTAGTTTTATTAGATATGCTCTTTCTCTGCACGGTCTCATTCTTAAATTTTAATGCCAACCTTCGATTCTCATCTAAAGTCTTTCATTAAAAGCGCCACTGCCCGATATCTACCGCCACGACTATTCCCAGAACTCCTTGGATCCTTATCCAACTTACTCAGTAGTTTCTAAGAGGACCTTCGGTCGACGGGTCATGCCGGACGAATACGAGTTGCCGCGGAAGTTTCAGCGACCCAAAGATGTCCCTTGTTCGGGAACTTGGAGCGATATCCGACCGGATAAGGAGGAGACGAGGCACGGACCGTAGATAAGACTGCCTTTCTTAGTCGTGAGCAAGAGTAAGAGAGAAAGGCAGCTTTGGAGTCGGAAGCGAAATCTTGTAAGTGGATATGCTCGAGTTTGTGAGTTGTCGGAAGAAAACGATTTTAGCGGCGTGCCGTTTTATCGCTTTGCGTATCGCGCGCGCCAGTTATGTTGCTCATTGAGTTTGTGACACGCGCGGCCGACGTGAAATGTCATAGTGTTGCCGGGAGTTCAAAGATTTCCGTCAGATTGTGTCGCGAACTCGCCAAATCCAGGACGGTAGGTCAAACGCCGTCGTATTCTGGCGTTCTCGAGCGCCAGCACACCCGGGTTCTTGACGCTGAATCGCATATTTGGCCTTTGGATGCCGCTGTCGCCGTACAAGCACGATTTATGCGAATGTCCGGAATACGCTGACGACGGACGGACAAATGGACAATGTCGAGCGAACAATATTTGATGTAATATTTAATATATATTATTTGCGCATTTAAGAATTTAATTTATATCGACAAGATTTTATGTTATTTAACGCGTTTACACGTACGCGTTCAGCAACGTGTGCTCATACGTGAAAATTTCAACGTAATTACTTACAGATAAACATTTATTGCATTTTGGTTTTTGTTATATAAACAGATAGAGTCGCGCAATTAAACCTTCGAAAGTCAATTTCGTTTATCAAACGACCGTAAAATAAATAAAACGGCATTATCTGATGACTGCGTGTATACGAATCGATCGATCTACCGACATTTCGTCGTGACGTTACGTTATGTTGCTTGACGTGCGAGTTATTGGAATCGACGTCGGGCGAGATTACTGCGTTAGCGTCCGCTCTCGGCGAATCAAATATCGCGTACGAATTTCTGACGACGGGAAATTTTCGATGGGGCTTCATGTCGTAGCGTGGCTGATCGAATTACCGGTCAATTATCCGACATAAACAAATCCCCGCGTAAGAAGATTCTGACCCAATTTCATGCCGGGCGAGATGAGATCGCAACACGGAAAAGCGGAAAGTAAATTACTCCGTCTTCCTTTCGCTCGCTCTCTCTCTCTCTCTCTCTCTTCCTCGCTTACTCTCTTTCTTTCGATTTCGTCGTGAAATACATTGTAGCGCATCCGACAAATCAGAACGAACGACTCGCAATGTGTGTGTTGCATAATATTCTACTGGGAAATACAAATCGGTACACCAAGCGCACGTAAAGCCCTCCCAACACACAAAACGTGACTCCGAATAGAGCGAATCCGATAATTAATGCCGGATTAGCGTCCTTATTTCTTCCACCGCCTAAATTATCATTTTGTTTGTTTGCGGAAAACTGCAATAATTGATCAAAATGTGTCAATTATTATCAGATATGTCGCAGATGTTAGATGTTTTGTTACGCGCGAATAAAAATCGAATTGGTTTAATCGAGAAAAATATTCACTTGCGACGAAACGCCACTATCACGCGAGAAAAAAAAACTACGCTTTTTAGCGCAGCGCGGTGGTCGAGAAAACATATATATTAGCATTTTCTCGTGTATATATATATATATTTCCTGCCGGTTTATTGCGCATATTGCGGGCCGTGGCATTAATTGCCGTTGTTGCACTCGGCTGGAACAGGAAGAGCTGTTGTTTTATTCGCGCGTTACCGGATGTGCATCCAGTTACGTACAGACGAACGCGACAATACACGCGAAACCCGTTGTCCTGTCCGATAAGCTTCTCACGAGGATTACGATGTCGCGCGCAGTTCATGTTGCTCTTACCGTACTCTTACATTTTTTATTACGAGCTCCGCCACGATCTTTCTTTACTTATTATATATAATACATTTCGATCTCGTAATGAAAATTCTCATTGCACGCTGATTATCTGAAGTAGTAAATAAAAAATAGTTTTTATGTTCTGTGGTTTTAATTAAAAGAGAGAGAGAGAGAGAAAAATATGGAATAAAATTATGAAAATTTGACGATCAATCTTACACCGCGATAAAATTCTGAATATTTTACCTAGCTCATTTATATTATATGAAATATTAATAATAAAGTTACTATAAAATTATTATTGGTCTCCTTAAAAAAAAAACAAATTATTTTTTAAACAGGTTTTTTCTGTTTTCCAACCGGTATATGTAGGTATTTCAAATTGCAAGATAGGCGAAAACTTTTCCTACGGAGACCGATTATTTCAAGACAAACCTATATCAAAATCTCGACCTTTCATCCCGAGCATATGTCTCGAACGACATCTTTCGAGAATAAATTTCGATTCTTGAAAAATCTAGAAATAAGACACACGTTTTTCTCCCATGTGCGAACAAGTTTCCGAAATATTTTACGAGACGTCCCAGTTCGTGAGAAAGAGATCCCGTTCCATAGTCACGGTGGCTAACTAGTACCAATTAATGATCTTTAAGGACGTAACAGATTTCCGATATCTCGATAGTTCGACGGAACGTGCTGAACCACTTTCGAGCGCCCATCAGCCTTCTCCGTGAAGACGCTTCTCTTCCTCGTTTGCCTCTTGACGACACACAAGGGAGGTAAGGTTTCACCTTACTCCCTTTCGTCTACTAATCGATAGATTTTCTTGCGAAGCCTTCGTCCGCGCGCCATAGTGATATTCCGACAGCATCGCTCTTAATTGAGTTTTCAGGATCGATTGGTAAGGGGTATGTCGTCGACTGTTCGGTGACGTTGGTTGTCTTCAATTACTAATTGCGATTAATTACATGTTTTATTCTCTCTCTTATTCCCATGCATGTCGCATCAAAAGAAAACATCACGTATGACAACAGACTTTTAAGCCGCTTGCTTTCAGCTATTCTTAAACATATTCTCTCGATAACGTTCGTTTAATCACGCGATATTGAATATCAATACTGCGCAAGATATTAACTCTCTCACCAGACACCATGTCTCGACTAAAATAGACACGTGATGTGGTCTCTCTCGTTTATTTGCGTACAATCACATACGCGCGCGTTTTTTTTTTTTTTTTTTTTCATGAA